GGGAGGAAGAGCAGGGCTGAGTAGACGATCGTCAGGTTCAAAAAGTTCATAAAGGGCATCACCACTGTAGCTGTCCCGTGAAAGCCTTTCCTGGTGTGGACGCTCTCTACTCTCCTCCTCCATACCTGGTGTGGTGGAGTCATAGTATCCCTCATCGCTGTTGGGAACTGACTCCTGCCGATCGCTCTGTGGGCTCAAGAGGTCAACAGGAGTGAGGGCCGTTTCTGTGATTCCCAGTGGGCTGCTGTTGGAGGTGGCACGGATGGAGCTGATTTGCTGATCAGAAGTAAGCGAAGGGCTATGCGAGCCCATGTCTGAGGGGACATAGCAGACTTCATTACTAGTTTCAGATTCCCATAAGCTCTGCAAGTAATCCGCGTCCATCTCATCAGGAGTTGCCATCTCTTCCCCTCCACCTTGATACGTGACAAAACACGAGCTCCGTTTTCCTGCGTTTCGGCTGCCTCTCTCGGCAGACACAGAGCTCTCGGCGACACCGACATCATCCTGGTCTGCGATGATGTCTCCACAACCTGTCAGTGAATCAAAGCTTTTCAATGACGAAACGTCACCGAAGATTAAGTTTTCAGAGGGGCAGGATACAGCAGAAGGCTCCCCGTCGGGAACGTCCACATTCTGCTCAGCCAAACGGTCCAGTTCTGACTCGGCACACAAGAGTTGATGATATGTCGTCAGTCCTTCCCGTCTCGCATTTTTTATCTCCTCCCCCTTTTTATCCTCTTCTTTTGCTCTCTTCTTCTTATCCACCTCCACTCTGCTTCTCCTTTTCTCAGGCACTAGCGTTACATCTTTCGTACATTCAGTGGCAGCCAATGGCAGTTCGCATTCACTGCCTGTGGGTTGATTAGGCACATCTGGCACCAACTCTTCGCTACGGTCACTGACGCTCGACAGGGCACCAGGCACTGTTTCGGCATGGAAGCTTGAAGACATTTCATGTGCCTCGCGCTTTTCTAGTTCAACATTTTTGTTTTTCCTGTATCTCCGAATGCTGCTGAAAAGCCCCCGAAGGCCTCTGCGCTGTCGTGGTAGAGACTGAGACTTCCCGTGATCCTCCTGTGATTTCTGAGGGTCACTGGAGGCACAAAACTCAAAGTCGCCTGAGGCCGCTTCACTGCTACCTCTGCCCAAATCTTCCCAGCATGCTCTGCTCACCCCATCGTATGTTTGGCTCTTCGTAACACCTGTTTTTGATGACCCCTTTCTTTGACTTCTGCCACGGCCACCGAAAAAGCTGGGCAGAACACAGATGCTCTTCCGACCACCAAAAAACCTGAAAGCCGTCTTCCGTATTTTCACGGAAGGCGGTGACTGAGGTTGAGGGCTGTCATGGGAAACAGAGTCTGACTGTGGACCCCCTTCTGCACCTACAACCTCACTTCCCGTGGCGGTCTCCATACTGACACAGATGACTGTGGCTAATGGAGCATGTCTGTAGCAAATACTCCACCCTGAGAGGCAGGCTGGAAGGTATGGGGACTGTGTTTATCAGACATCTTATACCTGTGAAAGAAACAGAAATTAAGACGCATCATTAGGAACAGTCAAAATAAGAAAAAACAAAACTAAGGCACATAGTTATTAATAAACATTTACAATAACAATTTATTCAAACACTGAAAGTCGTATCTGTGCATCTATGATGCCCGTTTTCACAAATGCCAAATATGACCTTTCAAAAAGTGTTTAAACTTTAAAGGAATAGTTCACCCAAAAATGAAAATGTCATCATTTACTCACTCTCATGTCATTCCAAATATGTATACGTTTCTTATGTTGAACACAAAAGATGATATTTTGAAGAATGCTGGTAATCAAACAGATGAAACCTACAACCAAAACAAAAGCTGACTGAAGCCAACGGGCCTGAACACTCACGGTATTGTGCATCATAAACAAAGGAGAAACACGTACAGATAGCGTGCAGTCCAAATGACTACACCCCATGGACCAGTTACACCAATTACTGCACTGAAAATGTTACTGGCATCGAATAGAACTTCTATCAAAAGACTAACTTACATGCAGTGTCCCCAGCTGGACACCATCACTGCTAATGAAAGCGCGCTAGCCCAGACGCTAACCAGCTGCGTCCGCTTCACTGATATACACATAACTTGCATACGCAAACAGCTGTACACTCACGTACGTTAACAGTCAAATAGCGAATAATGCACACAGATAGAAACATTATGGTCTCCATTGACTTCTATAGTATTCTTTCCTTACTATGGAAGTCAATGGGGACCAACAACTGTTTGGTTCTTCAAAATATCTTATTTTGTGTTCAACATAAGGGTGAACTATCCCTTTAAAAAATTAAATACTTAAGGCTATAATATAACACAATATATAATCCTGCCACCAACTAGGCCAAATCTTTGTTCGTCCTGAACTTACTCGGGTATACACACTGAAATTTGGTCTTTCAGTATCACGGTTTACTGCATAAAGCATATTAGAATGTCCCAACTCATTTAACCCAGGTACATTTGTGACCAAAATTTAGTTTTACAGGTCTAAACAGAGTTGTTGTTCTGTTTTAGTACCGTCAACTACAAAATGAAAGTGTAGACTCTGTTAGCTTGAGGCAGACATTTTTATATTGGAGTAAACAGTCAAACTGGTTTAATCAGAGTTTGTCCCTTTGAAATATTATGTCTGTGTCAAAGCTCCATAAAAAGATTCAAAATTAAATATTAGGGATGCACGATATATCGGCCACCATATCGGTATCGGCCGATAAATGCTAATTTTTTCTGTTATCGGTATCGGCCTGATAAGAAAATTTGGCCGATATCTTAAAACCGATAAATAATGCATTATTTCCTTCAGAGACACTTCAGATGTGCGCTGTTCGTTTGCAGCCTTTTGTGCAATTGTACATTGTAATATTGTGTTTATTTGATGTATATCTGATTTATCTCATATAGAATGCATTTGGTTAAGTTAAAAGAGCGCTTCAGTTTACCGGTGATCGTCTTTAGCTCAGCGCACATTTTGTTAATTTAAATTACATGAAAAAGTCAACTGAAATAAATTACCAAATAAAAAATAGAATTTTTTTTTTCAAAAAATAATGACAAAAGCACACAACAAAATGACTAAAAGTTAAATAAAAAATTTATTAAAACCGAAAATCTAAAAATAAAAGCTAATGTTTAGCTACGCTAAATATTCATAAATACTATAACAGCATATAAATAGTGCTAAAATGACACTGGTCTAGTCTGGTCTTGTGTGAATCTCAGCTAAATGTTACTTTGAGTTTTCCACATCAGTGCAATAATCCTTTTTTCCTATATGGAAACTGGCACCTCAAACTATACCCCATAAATGTAAATACAGAGAAGACAACACAGATAAACATTATGATGTTCAGCTGTTCAATTTTATGAACAAACTAACAAGCCAGATGTTATTCATAGTAGAATTGTGTTTTCAGAATACACCTGCATATACACTGTATATCCAATTTAGCATAGACTGATATACTTTGTAATCCTCAGGCAAGATACTTCAATACCACTGCTATAAATCCTTCTGAGGACTTGCTCTGGAATTGATGAAGTCTTTAACCTCACAGGAACCAAATGATATCCATTACATGTTATCTAATATTTAAAGGGTCTATTACAGGGGAGTCCAAACTCAGTCCCGGAGGGCCACTGTCCTACAGAGTTTAGCTCCAACACAATTGCCTGGATGTTTCTAGTATGGCTATTAAGACCTTGCTTTGCTGGTTCGGGTGTGTATAATTGGGGTTGGAGCTAAACTCTGCAGGACAGTGGCCCTATAAGAACAGGTTTGGACACATCTGGTCTATTATGAATAAATTAATAACATTCATTTAGGGCTCATTTAGACCATGTTCACAAGTAAAAATGGTCACAATTATGAGAAAACACAAAGCCCAAACGATACACCATTATAAAATGTTTATAAAGGTTTTTCCATTAAATAAAACAAACCAATAATAAATGCATTTTTTATTTTTTTAAGTTTTACTCACAATTATAATTGTAAAACAACACTATATGATACTTGCCTGTTACTTTATCATATTTTAATGAGCATTTGCATTGTTGTATTCCCACTGGTTACAGCTATCACCAAGAATAAAATGTTCTACCATGCAGTTTATCACTGGGCTATGTACTACTGAGTAAATTACATTGGCTCATTTAGGAGTGAATAATCCGAACAAAATTTGTTTTCTTAACCACAGAGGCAGAAAGGCTAACCTACAACAATACAAAAACAAAATCGATGACAGTACAGTGTTACAACCTGAATGAGTCCTTCAATGCAACACATAGCGTGAGTGAAGTTCCGCTGGATTAAACCTACAACCAAAACAAAAGCTGACTGAAGCCAACGGGCCTGAACACTCACGGTATTGTGCATCATAAACAAAGGAGAAACACGTACAGATAGCGTGCAGTCCAAATGATTACACCCCATGGACCAGTTACACCAATTACTGCACTGAAAATGTTACTGGCATCGAATAGAACTTCTATCAAAAGACTAACTTACATGCAGTGTCCCCAGCTGGACACCATCACTGCTAATGAAAGCGCGCTAGCCCAGACGCTAACCAGCTGCGTCCGCTTCACTGATATACACATAACTTGCATACGCAAACAGCTGTACACTCACGTACGTTAACAGTCAAATAGCGAATAATGCACACAGATAGAAACATTAACGATACTCGCCTTATTTTTCCATCTTTTCCGCACGCGCGTGCAGTGATGATTTTTTCTTGCAATTCTGAATTGTAAGATATAATATCTAAATTGCAAGGTAAAAGGAGAAAAACAACTCAGAATTCAGAGAAAATTAAAATCAGAATTGCAAGATGTAATCAAAGAATTGTGAAATTCTTTTTTGTGAGTTTATATCTTGCAATTCTGGGAGTATACCTTGAAATTTTGACCTTTTTGTCTCAAAACTGCAAGGGGAAAAAACACCTTTTAAAATGTTTTATTCCATGGTAGAAACAGGTTTCCATACAACACTAATGGCAATAAATAAAACAATGCTATAATACCACTAAAACTTCTCTCACCTCGCTCTTTCAGCAACAGCTCAACAGCTTCGTTCTGTTTGGTGCTCTTCTCTATAATGAGGGTCGGCAGGTAGACGTTTGCCCCAAAGTCAATGAGCAGTTGAATGTATTCGACTCCACAGCCGTGTCTCAAACACAATTCCAGGACCGTCTTCTGCTGTGTGGCTCTGCCGTTCACCTTCTCTACCGGGTTGTTATAGTTCGGATCTGCCCCATATAACAGCAACATTTTGAAGCAATCCAGGTGTCCATATATGGCTGACAGGTAAAGCGGCCCGCTGCACACAGCAACCCCTGAGGCCCACAGCGTCACCTTTGGCCTGGCGTTGACCTCCACCCCGTGCCGAAGCAGCTGGCGGAGGATCTCGGGGGCACCCTCTCGGGCAGCTGTGAGCACGGGTGAGCTGTTGTTCAGGTGGCTTCCATTCGGATTAGCTCCGGCACGGAGAAGCGCAATCACGCAGCTCAAGTAACGCCCGCACACAGCGGTGAAAAGAGGGGTCTGAGCTTTAACATCAAGGCGGTCTACATCTGCCCCATGGGCCAGGAGCAATTGCAGACACCTCAGGTGACCTACAGCGGAAAAAACTGCTGAAGTTAAAAATGACTGCAAAGCCCTGCAGAGAGCTGTGTGCTTAGTTGAGCATATCTCAGGATCTGCTCTCCCCTCTCTGCAGGACATCTACCTCAGATGCTGTAAAAGTAGAGCCACAAAAATCTCCACAAAAGACTCCAATCACCCTGGTAACTCTCTGTTCACCCTGCTCCCATCTGGAAAGCATCTTATTATCTTTATCTCCATGTTTATTACTTTCTTTGTCTTATACTTTGTCTAAATGTTGCACATTCTATGGAGCGGACCTGACTTACATTTCACTGCTGGTTATGTATTATATGTGACCCTGCATCAAAAAAACAGTCATAAGGGTCAATTTTTTCAAATTGAGATATATATATGTAAATAAGCTTTCCATGATGAATGGTTTGTTATGATAGGACAATATTTGGCCGAGATACAACTATTTGAAAATCTGGAATCACCTTTAAAGTTGTCCAAATGAAGTCCTTAGCAATGCATATTACTAATCAAAAATTAAGTTTTGATATATTTACAGTAGGAAATGTACAAAATATCTTCATGGAACATGATCTTTACTTAATATCCTAATGATTTTTGGCATAAAAGAAAAATAATTTTGATAATTTTGACTCTGCTATTGCTACAAATATACCCGTGCTACTTATGACTGGTTTTGGGGTCCAGGGTCACATATATATATATATATATAACGGAGTATGTGACAAATAAAATCTTGAATCTTGTGGTCGTGGTGGACAACAAACTCAGATGTGACACCATGGAAGGGTGCCGCACGTACCTTTGGACGCAGCCATGCGTAACGGTGTACCTGGGATCCCCCAGCCGCTCTGCTGATTAATGCACTTCCTGTAGCATTCTTGTGACAGTAGCTCGGCCAGCAGGAAATGGTCATTTTTAGCCACAGCTCGGTTCAGCAGCAGACTCTCAGCGGCTGCTTCATCCTCCTCCACTGGCCGCAGCTGGAGCATGGACGAGAACTGCAGAGAAAAATTTAAAGTTTATGCACAGCTGAGGGCCTCTGCATGACAGTTGAAAATAACAGCAAATTAGTGAGCTGCCTATCTAGACCATGCCCAAAAATGCTGTCTAGGTATGCAGCTCACTAGCTTGTATTCAGGATGAACTGCACTCACTTCTTCATGACGTGAATTGTTGTGTTGCACTTTCAGCTCTGTTTTGCTTTATAACAGCAAATCAACCTTATATTGGGATATTATTGCTATTAATGAGTAAACTACGATTATATTAATGTAATCTCTTTGACAGCGTTTATATTATTGGAATGCTTTGTCATGATGGACTTTATCTGTATTAGCTTTAACGACTACTAGCAAGCATACACGGTCAATAATCCGGATATCATAGATAAACCTCAAAAATACAAGCAAAACTAGACTTTTAAATGCTTTTATGCTAATAAACTCAGCTGAGAGTAACACTGGTCGCGTTCAAGCGGAAATGTATTCCCAGGCTATCTATCGGAGCTCGGTGTGTTTAACTCCAGTAACGTTATCTGTCACATAAATAACGCAGTTTGACTCGCTCCTTCTGACCTGCTGTCAAACAAACACGCATTTTAAGGTATACAATACATATACATGAGCAAATAGTAGATATTTTAAATGTGTTTTCGCCTCAAGGACACTCACCGAGCTAATAACAAGCCAAACAGCGGAAGCTGTTCCGTGGGCGACCAGAGGGGGCGCTGCGCGCGCACACCGCCACTGGGATCCAGTCATACCTGTTTTGTAGGGATGGGCGATACCTCTTATTTTATTTTCGATCCGATACCGATATTTACCGATATCGTCAATATCGATACCGATACTTCTAAACTAAACTGATCTTTTAAATTATTGAAAGAATATATAATCAGTAATTATACTCACTTAATATTAGCTTTTAAAGCCATGTTTTTTTAACATGTGCTGTTTTTGTTTACACTTTTAGAAATAAAATATACTATAATTGTATATTTTAGTCCTTTAATGGGGCAGTAACCTCAAAGGTGCAACTATACCCCTAAAAGTGAGCATATTAGTACCATACAAGTATGCATGTTTTAAGGGTAGATAAGTTACAAAGGTGCACCTTTGAGGGTACCTCATGAAAAATAAACATGGTGTTACATAAGTACTAAAATGTAGTATTATTATTATCTTGGTAAATTTGTGGTTACTGCAGTTTTACTACAAATACTGTGGTAAACTGTGGTTACTGTAATAAAACCATGGTTAATTTTTGTTAAAGGCTGCCCGGCTGCTGTACACCTAAAGGCGAAACTTTAGCATATTTTTTTCTGACAGATTTATTAACAGCAATTACAGAACATAACACAATCCATTTGAACTTTTAACAACAAGTTTAAATAAACGTACTCGCACAAACTAGCCAATTTAAAATAAATATTACATGTACACAAAAGTTTGGGGTCAGTAAGATTTTGTAATATTTTTTTAAGTCTCATGCTCACCAAGGCTGCACTTATTTGGGTTTTTCAGAATTAATGTTACATATAGTAACAATATAATGTAATGTAATAATGTGGCAATGGTTTCTTAAGATCTGGCTATGCTTCTGATGCTTTTGGGAAACGCAGCCCTATTTGAACAAGCACTCTGAGCCATGTGTCTACAGTGAACACTGTCTGTGATTGATTGGTGTGTTCCGATGAGCAGGAGAACTGGTTCTATCCAACACAATTATTCACTAATATAGTCTATTTTTCCACTTAGAAGCTTATTTTATGCACCGAATTTCTTGATAAGTAAATAAAATTAATGTTTAAAAAAATGCACTTCAGAATCGATATTTTTATGTGAGGATCGATCCTTTCGATACAACATCGGTATCGAAAGTATCGATACTTAAGGATCGATCCGCTCATCCCTACTGTTTAGTGTAATGAGCGAGTTTAGTGTTGTCCACAAACATAATGCAATATAATCGCATAACATAATGCACATTTGTTCACTAAAATTTATATTTATTTAAAACAAATTTAATGATGTACAAAACAGTGCAATGATCAAAACAAGCGTGTATAAAATGAGCTGACACAATTATTACACAGAGCAAAACTCTTCTCAGTTTTAAAAACAATAGATGTAATGTAACCACAGTCATTTTCAGTGGTATCCCTCTCATTTCTTATTTCAAAATTCCCTTTTGACTATTGCTGTACATTTAATCAAATAATAAGAATGTAAACAAATGCTTCTCAATAAAGGAAGCATTTTTAAACATTGGTTTTGCGTTTCACATAGTAATAAAAACTTGTCTGGAGCTCCATAGCAGCCAGGGTTCTCAACTAAAGTTGTCAAAACTTTTCCACATCCATGGGAAATAAACATCCGGTAGGCATCATTAAAAACAGTATTGCTTTGCAAAACTATATTGCAATTTAAAAGGCTTATAATATAAGTAATATTCCTAGAATACTTTTATGTGCATCAAATTATTTGTGTGGCATTAGAGCTTGGCTCAAACAATGTGGCATCCCATTGCAATCAATCAGCAGCACTTCAGCAGTGTTCCTTTTCATGCGAAATGAACAGCGTTTGCAATAAGGAACACCACAAAAATAATACTAAGCCCTTTGTGCAAAAAACTGATAATCAATTTGATCCGTGTTTTAACAACATGTTCCCTTTATCAACATGAATTTCACATCAGCTGCTTGTGTCTGAATAAATCAGTATCAGAGTCTGACTACACAAGTGTTACTAAAAGAAAGACATTAAAAAAATAGTCTATTGTACAATGAATAAGGCCACATTTGAACGGCATTTAAACAAAATGTAGATGATTCTAAGTGCCTATGATTAAAGCATGTAGCTTCAATCCTCATGGTCTGAAGGCCATCAAACACACTGAAGTCCACAAAAAACATAAAGAACATTGCAGAAATGCTCAGAACAGATATAACAGGGCACAAGGATCTACCCAGTGCTCGAGAAATCGAATAAACAGCAATATAAACAATCACAAACTGGTGTGCTGCAGCTTCAGCTGTGGAAACGGTACTTTATGCATCTTTTCAATAATCTGGACATTTGTTCTTTGGGGTCTCAGTCAAAATGTCTGTTCTGTTACTATGGCGACTCAAGAGGATTCTTGTTCCTCCTCTTTGGAATGTTCTGTTTCCACAGAAACAGGTTTGTCCTCAGAGGAGGTCAGATCGTGTTCGGTGGCTCCTGGATCCGCCCCTTCCTTCTCATTGCACTTCTCAGCTCCTGGGCCCGCCTCCTCTGCGTCTCCATTAATTAAAGGAGCGCAGCTTCCATTTGATTGGACGACAGGAGCGGTGGGAGTCTTCTCGCTTGGACCGTCCTGTTCCGCAGGTGTGTTGATTGGTCCGGATGGATCGGGGAGAACTCCATCTGCAACAGCCAGCTGCTGTAAATGGAGAAGAGAGAGACAGCGTCATATCAATCGAATACCTCTCCACACTGACAAACCTTCCACGAACCCACTTACTCGCTGTAATTCAGTCATGGTTCTCTCTCCTTCCACCTGCTTCTGTGTGAGGGAGAGCAGCTGGTCTAGAACAGACTGTTTTGGGTGCATGCCTCTGTCATAGTGGTTATACATCCCACACCAGAACCTGGGAAACATAAAGAAATACAAAAACTATTCAGTGAAATCAAATTGCTCTCCATAAAAATCGAATTACTTTGGTCTTACTAACAGAATTTTCTTAAGTGTCATCTTTAAGTGTTAGTCTGCCGTGGCACAGCTGGTTTATTCATACTGTATGTTTAAGAGTGTATCCGTACTTGAAGTGCAGCGGTAAAGTGCTGGGTCTCAAAACTGTGCTCTCTAATGAACGCCGGTACAAGGGGTTTCGATACAGATGCTGGTTCTTCAGAAGATATGGCCACAAGGAAAACGTCTTTTCATGCAACCTAAAACCCCACAAAGAACAGTGAAGCAAAGCATTTTAAAATCATTCAGTCATTGCATGTTTTTCATCTTTAATAATAAAGAATATTTGCTTTTCATTTTGAAGCATACACGTTCAATGCCGACTTCATCATTTTTATTTGTACATACATGTATGTTTGTGTCTTTCCTCACCTCACGTCCAGCCTCTCTTTCTGACAGTTGCCGATGAAGTTTCCATACTGGCAGGCGTAGACTTGATTGTGTATTTCTATTAAGTAACGTTCGTTGAACTCAAACACACAGGGCAATTGTTCAGACAGCTGCCACACACACTCCAGGAACTGGGTGAAGACCGGAGACACTTCTTTGGGGTCGGTGTCCAGATGGCCACACCTACAGCACAAACATATATACAAATGAACATGTGCTGTCACAAAAAATTGACTTGGTATTGACCGTAATGGCTCACTATTAATAAAGTGAGCATTTTTATAGCATATATAAAAGGTAACTGTAATGTTTTACCATTTTAATATTTGCGATTCTTAATAATTATTGTTATTAATTATCTCTTAAAATGCTATTATTATTAAAAATATATCGTATTTACATATTTGCAGTTATCGAAAGCTCTGATAATGTTTTGAGGGGTATTTATTAATGCATGTAACAACAGTGAAAGTTTTTACCTGTGACTGAATTTATGACCAAAAGAGATCCACTCCTTTTCTATTAAAACCTGTATAAAACAAAACAAATGTCAAATGATGAATTTCCCCAACAGCCTGCTTTCTTGTATACGATAAACAAATTCAACACAGTCAAGACCTTAAATTCTATTATTTTGCCATATTTCAGTCTGGGTGTTTGGGGTCAGTAAGATTAAAAAAATTAATTAATTAATACTTTCAGGTATTTAATGCAAGGACAGTGATGATGACTTTTATATTGTTGCAAAAACTTTCTATATCAAATAAATGCGGTTTGTTTAAACTTTCTATTCATGTTCTTAAGCACCAAATCAGCATGTTAGAATGATTTCTGAAGACTGTAATGGCTGCTGAAAATTCAGCTATTGCCATCACATAAATTACATTACAAAAATATTTTTTAAATATTAAAGTGTTAAATTTTACCAACCCCAAACCCATATATGGTATATAATAAGTTACACAGGAAAAGTTAATGACTTAATTTGAGAAGCCATGACCTGCTCAACAGTGTGACATAAATGTGAGTGTGAACTAAGTTCACAGGAGTCCAGTGTTGAGGGTAGAGGTTATAGGTTACTGGGTCATTACCATGAGGCCTTTAATAGTTCTGTAGTATGGGTCCAGCAGTATGCAAGCCAAAGAGCACACCTGAGCCGTTCTGTCCCAACCATCAGAACAATGCACTAACACACTCGCCCTCTCATCACAGACAGCCTGGAACACAAACAAAATGACTGAGCTCATCATTGTTGATATACTCGTGTTGGTGTCTCTCTATGCAGTTATAGCATGGAGGTCAGTACCTTGGCGAGGAACACGCCTGCATCCATTACAGATTTGATGTGCCTCAGCCAGCCAGAGTTCTCCAGACCTGTCAGATAGTCACTCATGGAAGGAGACTTCATAGAGCACACTGGAAGAGCAAAGGTACAACCAACCATCATTTTATCTACTGATTTAAAAGGTACAGCCAACACTCAACTGAGCAACTTCCAGAAATAAACCTAATCAGCTACTGCATATACCAGTACAAATCAATTTTTTTTATAAAGAGTGTTCTCTCACCCTCCAGCAATTTTTGTAGGCTGTTTCTCATGACGTGGATGTTCTCGATTCCTTGGAACTGGAA